GCCATGGTGGCTTCCAGAGCAAGTGAAAACACAACCAATTAGGAAGCCAAATCACAACTGGGAAGCCTGCACTCTCAGTTTTGGACGATTCTTCTCCGGCTTGTTTTTCTGCAGCATCTTGTCTTGCTCGCTCTTCTTCCATAGAGATCTGAAGTGCTAGCGCCAGCTCTTGTCCACATTTGAGTCCACACCAAATTCAAAACCCGATGCTCCACTAGCAGCAGCAACAATAGCTTCTAGTTTCTCATGCCTTTCACCATCAAACTCCCCGAGGTAGACAACAGCAAGAGCGACATTGTTCTTCTTCAGATTTTTCCTCATCACTTCCAGCAGATTCTCCCCACCTATTACTGGGCTTGTCGGCAGCTTGTCAAAAACCAATGGAGTACACAGGGAAGCTGATACAGCAAAGATATCCATATCAAGGGAGCACCTAAGTACAGCACCATGCACCTCGCTCCCATAATCAAGAGCAGACTGTGCTGCACATACCGTTAGGATGCTGATTACTGATGGGCAGCTTGGACGGATTGCAGTGTGCAACATCTCAAGGAAGGTACACAGTGCCTCCATCAAGAAGTCACTCTGCTCATATGCTTTGATAGCTTCAGTAACTGCATTCTCTAAAGATTTTTTTTAATTTTAACGCTTTTTGTAAACTAATTTTAAATCTAACACTGTTTTTTTTTTCAAAACTAATACTTTTGGCCGCGCCTATTGCCATAGCGTGGCGAAATGCTGTGATGCGCCATGCATGGTGGCGCGGCGGGTGGTTGACGTGGCGACGACCGGAAATGCTGACCGGTGACGTGGCAGGGCTTGCCGCGCCACCGATCTTGGCGCGGCGCTGCCGCGCCCTGATCGGTGGCGCGGCAGAGCCAAATAAAAGCCATGCTTGCCCGAGCAGCAAGCCCGCCTGCCCACGCCCACCCGTGCCTGGCCGCCGCGCTAGCACCAGCCCGCCTGCCCGCGGCCGCCTCCCTCCCTCCCTTCCCTTCCATTCCCCGGCCGCCTCCCTCCCACCTCGGCCTCGTTCAAGGTAATGACGCACTTTTTATTTTCGTTTGAATGGTGGATATGAATATTATGAATGAGAGTTAAGGTTAGGAGGAAAATTATATTTGGGAACTATGGGCTACGGTTTGGAGGAAGATATTAGTTTGATTTTGTCAATGTTAAGGTTAATTATTTAGTTAGAAGTATGTTTACCATGTATATTTTTGTTGCTATAAGTGTTGGTTATATTATTTTAGTTGCAATGCAAATGATTATATTTTACATTAATTTGCGTTGTTTTGATTGATGTTTAATTTGAACCGTTTTATTAGATGGAAGACATGTTTCGGGAGCAGTTGTGGCGAAAACGGGGTCGTCTTAGAGAATTGTACCCCAACGAGTCTAGCAAAGATGCCCCCGTCCCTCCTGACCTCCCTGTCCCTAAATGTGACTATGGTCGTCCGACCGACGTGTTTCAATCGAGACATTCGGACACAGCGGCTCGTTGCTTCTACACATGCAGTCGTTTTAATGTAAGTAATTGTTTCCGTATGTTTTTTTTCTTAATTTGTATTACTAGGTTACTAATATTTTGTTGGAATTTTATTGTGTAGGCCCATGAGAGGTGCTTTTTCTTTCTGTGGATCGACGATGCAGACAAGTTTGACCCCAGGTACCTCCTTTTTGATGATTGGTGGAGAGGGCGACATCCACGAGAGCACTTCGAGCGGTGGGTTCCACCTCCCCCTAACCCCCTCCAATGACGGCTAAGGAGAAGCACTTATCCGCAGTTAGACGACTCTTTTGTGCGATTGCGGAGATCGAGCTGTGATAAACTCTGAGCATACGTTGGAGTTTGTGTGTCCAAACAAGCATGAAGTAAGTGCAAAGTATATGTGTTGAAATGTTGAGCTATATGTGTTCATGTACTAATGTCATCTTATTTAGGTGTTTTTAATGGTGAAGTGTCGTTTCAAGGAGTGGTTCTATGGTCCTAAGAACCAATGGCCGGAAGAACCTCCAAAGGCAAAGCAAAAGAAGAAAGAAAGGTTAATTTACAAAGCAACTCCAGTCAAGTGCGAATGTGGTGTTAAATCCAACTACGGTCTAGTCCATTTGGAGATTGGAATAGACCATTATTGCGGCCATATGGTTGACTATGATGAGGTTGGTTATTTTTGTGGTAACCATAAAATCGTATTTTATTTCTTTTGCTAAGACATATAAGATATAATTTTTCGTTTGAACAGAGCACTAGGAAATGCAGGTGGGAATGCTATGGTTGTCAAGCTAAGTTCTTGGATGAACTGAAGGGGAAGCAAGTAATTGCACGGAAGAGGGGATACAGACCTGACTACGTCAACCTATTCGTTAAACATCACAAAGACAAGATGCGTGAGTTTGCTAGACAGCGCGGTATTTGTAACCCGAGCAATATTGGGCTTGACAAATGGGAATTGGAGAGACGAATGACGTTAGAGGAGGAGAGGGCAAGGAAGGAGGCAAGGGAGGAGACAAGAGTACATATGCATGTCTTGAACGAGCTTGTTGTTGCATTATATGCCAGTGAGTGCTTGAAAGCCTTTTTTTCGTTGCCTGATTTTAAATGTAATATAATCGCATTGCTAACTGATTGCATTTTATACATGAATGGATTCGATGCAGCGAGAAACATGCTGCAGAGGTGGCTCGTGCAAGGTACGAGGAAAAGAAGTTAGATGAGCATAGAAAGCGAGCTGGTCGCACCGTTGAATCATCGATTGTGTTGTCTGATGAGGGGGGCGAGGATGAGGACAACACTGCCAGACTCAGTGAGCTCATCGCTCTAGCAGAGGCGGGCTTGCAGACGGAGGAGGCTAAGGACGACACTGGCAGACTGAGCGAGCTCATCGCTCTAGCAGAGGTGGGCTTGCAGGCGAAGAAGGCTGAGGATGACACCGGCAGACTGAGCAAGCTCATCGCTCTAGCAGAGGCAGGCTTACAGGCGGAGGAGGATGACGACACGTTCTTCACTCAGGCCGCAGAGGCCATAGATGAAGCGGAGGCCGCTTACGATAGGCGACACAGAGGTCAGAGCAATGCAGGTGAGCGTAGACACATGAACGAGGAGGAAGAGAACGCGTTCTTGTCTCATGCCGCAGATGAAGCGGAGGCCGCTTACTACAGGCGAAAGGCAGATCAGGGCAATGCAGGTGAGCCTAGCCATAACAACAGGGTTGTGGTTGAGGATTGGCAGCACCTGGACACGGACAGAAACCGACCAGCCTCAATTGCAGTTGAACGGGAGCTGTTGTCGGTGCTGTAAACAACTACAAGTGTCGCCGCGACCGTGCACAAGTTGAAATGAATATGAAGCAGATAAATGGACGACAAGTTGCCATATAATATTTTCATTGGTTCATGAGTCTACAAGTTTCGGATGACAATATTCGTTCGACATAAGTACGACATAACAAACTAAGTCTCAGGAATGTAAGGATCTGTACCTCCTTGGTCATCATCAGAATCATCTGAATCACTGCTAACTACATCACCGATCATGTCCTCCTCCTCCTGTTCCTCCTCTTCCCGTTCGAACTCGTTAACATCGAAGTCATTGCTTATACAGCCTACTGTAGTTGAATGAAACTACTCTTGCGTCAACTCACCGTCCAAATCCATGTTATCCTGAGTTGCTTCCCCTTCGACCCCTAATTCTTGTTCATGGCCTCCAACAGCGTCAATGGACGGACCGTCCTGAACACCCTGCATCCTGTACCCATTCTCCACCACCACCTCAGCCATGGGCACATTAGAACCTTGGAGCACCCTAGTGTAACGGGACCAGTGAGCAGGGTCGCGGAGGGCATGAGGACATAGTGTACCCTAGTCTTCCCAGTATCAAACCTCCCCTTCAGTGTAAAATCACCGCCAAACTTTGCATTCAAACGGACACAAAGGTCATTGAAGCTAGAAAGTTCATCAAACCATTCCAATTCTTCTTCCATATCCTCAAACATACCATCTTGTCTCCTAACACTTCCTCCGTATAAAACTCTAACACAACAATCCATCTGCAAAAGCATTTCAAGAAACTTCATCAAGTCGTCGAAAACGTTGTACGTAATGTCCATAGTAATATTAATACCTATTCTAACTATAACTATACTAACTAATCTAATATTAACATCTATACAAGGCTAACTACAACTAATTAGACTAAATCCAATGTATAACTAGACTCACTAACTGTGCTAACTAAACTACCTAACTTTACAATCTATACTAACTTACTATATTACCTATACCAACTAAACTAACTAACTTTATTTATTTTACTAACTTACTATACTAACAATGTCGATTAAATCAACAAATACACTAGGGGAGTACCTCACGGTGGTGGTGCTCAAATCCTTCTGCGGGCGTGTGCACGCTAGACCTGAGATGAGGCGCTTGGCAAACCCTCGGCATGGGCGGCTAACCGCCCGTCGCGTGTCAAGGGGTGGGCGCGCAAGTCTGTGGTGCATGGGCGGTCGGCGGCCGTGGCATGCCGGAGGGGGTGGCACGCCGGCGTGCGGGCCGGAGGGGGCGGGCGCAATGGGCAGCCGGCGGCCATGGTGTGCCGGCGTTCGTGGTGCGGCGACCGGCGTGCTCGGCGGCGGGCAGGCCCTCCCGGCGGCTTGGCATGGGTGGGCGCAGGCGCGGTGGCCAGGCGGGCTTGTTGGCACAGCAGTGGCCAGGTGCGGGCGGGTGCGTGCAGGCGGGCTTGCTGCTCGGGCAGGCGGGACTGGCCGCAGGGCTTTTATTCGGCTCTGTCGTGCCACCGATCAGGGCGCGGCAGAGCCGCGCCAAGATCGGTGGCGCGACAAGCTCTACCACGTCACCGGTCAGCATTTCCGGCCATCGCCATGTCATCCACCCGCCGCGCCACCATGCAAAGTGTTAGTTTTGAAAAAAAACAGTGCTAAATTTTAAATTAGTTTACAAAAAGTGTTAAAATTAAAAAAAAAACATCACAAGGTTTAGCATTCCTTGGTGCAGCTTCCACTCAGAATCAATGGTTTGCCCTGCAAGTGAAATATATCCAAGAGTTTGGCTAGTGGCCCAAAACTGTACTGTGAGATTTATCCTTCCAGGAATATTTCCAACTTGCTTCAGCACGCCTTCTCTATCCTTCAGATAAACTGCATAAACGTCTGCCTCCACTGCGTCTGTATTAACCACGTCCTGGAGCGACGATGCATTCGGCATGGCAAGCATCGGGGTCAGGAAGCCAAGACATGAGGACTTCGGAGATGATGGTGGCACCGCTGACACACCTCCCGTGGACACCAGAACGCCAATACCGGTGCCCAGGCATACCGTCGAGCAGTTGGCGGGCATGTAGTCTTCAGTATTGCTGGGGGCGACATCGAGGCAGAAGGCGGAGTAGTCCGGCTTGGGGATGGCGGAGAGAGCACGGGGGAATTCGCCGCAGAGGACGTCCCAGACGTCCGCCCACATGAGACCGATAGTCCGCCCGCAGGCTTCGTACAGCAGGGCCCGGAAGAGCGTTGTGCAGTGCTGCAGCGGGATCTCGAGGGGTGCAGGGCCGAGTTCAATGTTCACCTTGCCCTGCGCATCCTCCTCGTAGTTGGACAACCCGGACGTGGCGCAGATGCTCAGCCCGAACGCGTCCCCGGCGAAGTTGGAGCAGCGGCCGACCATGGAGTAGCAGACGTAGCGGAACCCCACGTCGTGGGGCTCCAGCGAGTCGATCTCGGTGTTGGTCAGGCTGCTGGGCCGCGGCGTGGTGCTGGAGAACCCCATGGAACGCCGGGAGTAGATGTCCAAGCGCGACGCGTTGGAGCGGCACACGGAGACGTGCATCTTCCCGTTCCCCTTCACATCGGCCTCCGTGTCGATGGCGTCGTTGCGTCCGTGGAGCGACACCACGTCGAGGTCGACGATGATGGACGCGATGGTGGCGGGCGGGCACGAGGAGCGGGCGTGGGTGCGATGTCCGCGTCGTCGCGGATGTCGACCGCACGAAGCGAGGCGCCAGGGTGGGCGCCATACGAGACATCGGAGCGGACACCTCCGCCGCGGATCGAGCCTAAGGAAGGCCGGGGAATGGCGGAAGCGGCAGAGCGTGGGGCTGATGAGGTCGGTCAAGAGGCAGAGATTGCCAGTGCTGGGCCCGACCTCGCAGGCATGCTTGAGCCAGTCCACGGCTGTGCCGTCGCAGTCGCTGGCGACGGGTTTGGGGATGGTGAGGAGGGAGACACGCGGGGTCGCGGCGAGGTCGATGGAGCGGTCTGCGGTAGTGGAAAAGTCGCAGGCAGCGTCGAGCGCGAAGGAGACGAACTTCTCGGACGCTGTGTCACCGGCGGCACGGCAACGGCCACTACTGATGGTGAGATCTCTGAACCTGATGATGGCAAGGAAAGGGAAGCAAGCACTTAAGGGGAGCCGGCGGCAAGGAACCTAGGAGCCCAACGTATGAAGAAGCCCATTAGTAGAGTCTTTGGGCCGGACTGAATCATCTAAACGGACCCTACGTGGCCCAGATGCGAGGGTAGCCCATGGTGGCCCCTTTTGTAAGCAACGGAGGAGTCGTGAGAGAACTGAACATGAACTAGAATCGGACCGTGCCCGAGGGCGACGGCGACGGCGGTGTTCGGCGATCTTGTTGATCGGCCGACGACGACCGAATTTACCCAAATACTCTATCATATTACAGTTGATCTATCATAGTTTGGTTACATCTGGTATCGGATTGCCTCTCGATCCTTGGTCCCTCGAATTTCCACATTCCATCGGTCAAAATCGCAAACGCTTCGGGTTCGATTGAGATCCTTGGAGGGCAGTGAGCTGCTACCGCCAGTGATTTCTCGGTAATTCCCAAGCACGCGAATCGATTTGTGGGGAAATTTGTGACTCTAGCATCACATCAGTACCTTACCCGAAGACAGATGGCCTCAATCACTAAGGAAGAGCAGTTGGGGAAAATCATGGCGTTGCTGGGAGAAAACTCCAAGGGAATCAACGAGCTCAAGAGTTCGATGATGGAGATGACTGCCATGAAGATGGACTTGTTGATGTGGAAGCCCGAAGTTGATAATAGAGTTCACGAGCTGGAGCATGCCGTGCTGAATCTAGGGGGAGCGCATCGAGCAAGTTCTGGGGTCTCGGATTTTGGTGGCCCAACCTCTGGAACCAACCCATGGGGAGCAGTCTAGGGAAGTCACCATCGCTCAACCCTTGCTCACCACGGCAATTCGGGAGGACCACTTTGCCTCTTTGAGAGTCAAGGTGCCGAGCTCCGCTCACCTGGAGTTTCACCCGCCAAGGGCGGCACCTGGGTCGTTAGACCACGGCAAGCGAACTTCTCACCGGGGTGCTGATTTCAGGGCAGTGTACACCATTGCCCCAGAACCAGCCCCGGTCACAGGTGCGACACCAACCCCCCCCTCAAATCCACCCCTGTTTTACTTCATACTTATGACTCGGCTACACTACTCACACTACCCACCCCTCACACCCTTTCCTGAAGTTGAATTCCATAAGTTTGATGGCTCTAACCACATTTGTGGATCAAACGTTGTGAAACATACTTTGATGTCTATCAAACTGATCCAAGTCTTTGGGTTCGTTTAGCCACTATGCGTCTAGTGGGTTCTGCAGCACTTTGGTTTCAGACTATGCCAACTGCCATCAGTAAAATGTCATGGGAATCCTTTGTAGTAGCTCTCTGCAATAGGTTCGACAAAGATGAACACAATCACCTGTTGCGATATTTCTTTCACATTAAGCAAACCACTACAGTCTCTGAATATGTTGAACAATTCAGTGACATTGTCCATCAGCATTAGCCCATGATCCATCTTTTCCTGCTACCATTATTACAAACCGCTTTCTTGATGGTCTTAAAAAGGATGTACGTGCGGTGGTTATGATGCACAGACCTCAAGATTTAGATATTGCTAGCTCTTTGGCATTTTTGCAGGAAGAGGCTTCTCAAGACCAACCTATCAGGAGATCTGATTTGTTATCTTATTCAAAGAGAAACAATCAAGAACCTGTCAAAGCACCTTTTGCAACATCTTCTAATTTTGCAAGAATTGTCGAAGATAAGAAGCCACCTGATCCTGGCAAGACCCGACATACAGGGGAGGATAAATTGACTGCATTGAAGAATTATAGAAGATCCAAAGGCTTGTGTTTCAAATGTGGAGAAAAATGGGGACCCAACCATAAGTGTCCTCCTTCTATCTCTCTCAATGCTATAGAAGACATCTAGAAATGTATTGTGGATCATGAAGATGTAGTAACTACAATAGAAGCTGTAGAATCTGACTCAGGAGATGATCTGATGGCTATATCTATACAAGCTTTGAATGGCATTGAAGGCTCTAGAACAATCAGACTGAGAGGTTATCTTCAAGGAAAAGAAGTATTTATGTTGATTGATTTTGGAAGCTCAATTAGCTTTGTCAGTGATCTTTTTGCAGCCAATGTTTCTCCATGGCAACCACTATCTCAGTCAGTAACTGTCAGAGTAGCTAATGGAGAGGTTCTGTCTTGTACTCATGAGCTACATGATCAAGTCTGGGGCACACAAGGGCATACTTTCTGTACTACACTAAAAATCATTCTAATCAGAGGCTATGATATCATATTAGGAATGGACTGGTTGGAAACCCATAGCCCTATGAAAATTCACTGGGTGGATAGATGGTTACAATTCTCCTATCAAGACAAGCTAATAACTCTTCAAGGAATTCCTTCTGTTGTCCAACTGGGGCCTCCGGTTACTCACAATCAGTTGCTTGCCTTTGACAAGACAGACTCCATATTATATTTGGTACAAATTCAAGCAATGGAACCTGCTGCACCTCAAGAACTGTCATTACCTCCGGATCTTAAACACTTGCTGGATCAATTCAAGCCAGTTTTTGAGCCTCCAACCACACTCCCACCTTCACGGTTGGTCGACCACTCCATTCCACTATTAGATGGCGCTCAACCATTTTGCCTCAGACCTTATCGCTACAACCCTGCCCAGAAGACAGAGATAGAGAATCAGATAGCTGACATGCTCGAGAAGGGATGGATTCAAGCTAGTACAAGTCCTTATTCATCCCCTGCCTTACTGATGCGCAAGAAAATGGGGGATTGGCGTTTATGCGTCGATTTTCGCAGACTGAATGCACTAACAAAGAAGAACAAGTACCCCCTGCCTATCATTGAAGAACTTCTAGAGGAATTACATGGTTCTTCTTGGTTCGCATCTCTTGACCTTTGTTCTGGGTTTCATCAAATACGCATGGCTGTCGGGGAAGAGTTCAAAATGGCATTTTAGACTCATACTGGACACTATGAGTACAGGGTCATGCTGTATGGCGTCATAGGAGGTCCGGCAACATTTCAAACAGTTATGAACCTAATTCTGGCTCCTTTGCTCAGAAAATGTGTGGTCATATTTATAGACGACATTCTGATTTATAGTAAATCCTGGACAGATCATCTTTTGCATATACAAGAAGTTCTCAGTATACTGCAACAAAACCATTTTTATGTCAAGATGTCCAAGTGCTCTTTTGCAAAACAACAATTATCTTATCTGGGTCACATTGTCAGTGGGCAAGATGTCGCCACAGATCCCTCAAAGATAGCCTCTATCCAAGAATGGCCACAACCACATAACCTAAAGGAGCTACGCAGTTTTTTAGGCATGGTGGGATATTACAGAAGATTTGTTTCACAGTTTGGACTTATGTGCAAACCTCTTACCAACTTGTTGAAAAAGGGAACTCTATTCATATGGACATTAGAAACCAAAGATGCTTTTTAGACGCTCAAGAAGGCATTGATTTCAGCACCGGTTCTGGCATTACTAAATTTCAACTTGCCTTTCACTATTGAAACAGATGCCTCAGCAAAAGGCATTGGTGCTGTCCTACAACAGCAAGGTCACCCAATTGCATATGTGAGTAAGGCACTTGGAGTTAAGGCTCAAGGGTTTTCAACATATGAGAAGGAGTGTTTGGAAATCTTGATGGCGGTGGATCATTGGCGCCATTATTTGCAATCTTCCTCTTTCACAATACTCACTGATCAGAAAAGTCTAATTCACTTAGATGATCAGAGATTATCAACCCCTATTCAACACAAGGCATTAACCAAATTGATGGGTCTCTCATATCAAATTGTGTACAAAAAGGGCATGGATAACAAAATCTCCACAGTGCGACCACTTTGGCTTCAAGAGATTCAAGATTCTTGTACAACAGATTCTCAAGCTACAAAACTATTGTCTGAACTCTCTATTTCCTCTCCAAGTGGTTTGTATTCACTGAAGGATGACATCATTCGATACAAAGAGAGAATTTGGGTGGGTCATCAACATGTCTTACAGTCTAAGATCCTCTCCTCTCTCCATGCAAGCGCTATTGGCGGCCAGTCTGGTTATGAGGTCACTTATAAGCGAGTCAAACATCTATTTGCATGGTTTAAGCTTAAACAATCTGTCCAAGAATTTGTTGCCCAGTGCACTGTATGTCAGCAAGCTAAGGCCGAGAGGGTGGCTTATCCAGGTCTGTTGGCACCTTTACCCATCCCTGACCATGCTTGGCACACAGTAACTCTTCATTTTATAGAGGGTCTTCCAAAGTCTACTGGATACAACTGCATATTAGTGGTGGTAGATAAATTTTCAAAATATGCTCATTTTGTTCCTCTCTCTCCCACCCTTTCACTGCTCTTCAAGTAACTATAGCCTATCTGAACAACATCTTCAAACTCCATGGCATCCCTACAGTTACGGTTTCAGATAGAGATAAAAATTTTACTAGCAACATTTGGCAAGAATTGTTTAAACTCCTTGGCACAGACTTGAGAATGAGTAGTGCTTATCACCCACAAATGGATGGCCAGACAGAGCATGTTAACCAATGTCTTGAAACTTACTTAAGGTGTTTCCTGCATGCTTGTCCTACAAAATGGTCTCAATGGCTTGCATTGGCAGAATACTGGTATAACACGTCATTCCATTCTTCTCTTGGTCAAAGTCCATTCCTAGTACTCTATGGTCATGAACCAAAGCATTTTGGTATTGATATATCTCAAGCTTGTAAATCCAGTGATCTTCAGGGATGGTTGGAAGAAAGAACTCTGATGCAATCACTGGTCCGTCAGCATCTTGTCAGAGCCCAGAACCAAATGAAAGCTCAGGCTGATAGACACCGAACACCTCGATCATTTCAACCGGGTGATTCTGTGTATCTTAAAGCCCAACCATATGTGCAGACTTCTTTAGCGCCCAGATCTTCCAACAAATTAGCTTTCCATTTCTTTAGGCCCTTCCTGATAACTGAAAAGATTGGTCAATCAGCTTATCGTCTGCAGCTGCCTTCAGATTGTCTTATACATTCGGTGTTCCATGTATCACAACTAAAGAAGGCCATTCCATCTGCTGCTATGGTAAGTCAAGAGCTACCTGACATTTCTAATCAGTTGTAGGTGCCTCAAGAAATCTTAGACCGTTGGCTTCATCAGCACAATGATCGTATGATCCCTCAAGTTCTAGTGCACTGGTCCTACCTCCCTGCCACTCTCTCCACCTAGGAAGATGAAGAATCTCTACAACAACAGTTTCCCCGTGCACCAGCTTGGGGTCAAGCTGGTTCTAAAGGAGTAAGGGATGTCACCGGCGGCACGACGACGACCACTACTGATAGTGAGATCTCTAAACCTAATGATGGCAAGTAAAGGGAAGCAAGCACTAAAGGGGAGCCGACAGGAAGGAACCCAGAAGACAAACATATGAAGAAGCCTAGTAGTAGAGTCTTTGGGCCAGACTGGATCATCTAAATGGACCCTACGTGGCCCAGATGCGAGGGTATCCCATGGTGGCCCCTTTTGTAAGCAACAGAGGAGTCGTGAGAGAATAGAACATGAACTAGAATCGGACAGAGCCCGAGGGCGACGGCGGCGGCGGCGTTCGGCGATCTCGTTGATCGGCCGACGACGACCGAATTTACCCAAATACTCTATCATATTATAGTTGATCTATCATAGTCTGGTTACACGCTGGTGTATGCGAAGGCATCTTCTCGAGCTTCTCGGACGCTGGCGTATGCGGAGGCGGCTTCTCGAGCTATGGGATCTGGCTCTAGTACTCCACTAGGGAAGTCTCCACGGGCTCCTTCTCCTTGTTGGAAGCAGCGGCAGCGGCGGAGACGAGTGGTGCGGGAGTGGAACAGGCGGACGCGGTGGAGTTGGTGGAGGTGAGGCCGCTGTCAATGCGGATTGGGCCGGTGGACGTGAGCCCGGCGAAGACGTCATCGGTGAAGAGGTCACGCTCCGCCACGTTGTGGGTAGGCTGTTCAAACAACCCTCCCCAGTTGTCTGGAACCACCATGTC